TCTCCCTCCACCCCTTGCCCTCCCTGGGAGAAAAGTTCTTCCTCGTTCCTTTGTGTTTCAGGGGCTCAAGTGGAGGAGGGTTGACTGCCTGTGCTTCAGGGTACAGCGTATGCAGTGCAGGGAGGCTTTAAAACTACCTTGTCACTGTCACTGTCTGAAACAGGTAAAAGCAGTGACAGCTATGACTGACTTTAGTATTTGCAGACTCCCAGATAAACTCAAACAAAATCACCAGCATAGCACGTTCTTCAGTGATATTACATTATTTCTTCTTATTTTGCTTGGGAGCTCTCACTGATCGCGATCTCGCTGTTCAAGATGCTATGCAAACCAACCCAACAAAAAAACCCCAACCTATGCCTAAAGATCTCTCGAGTGTAAGAGCAGAGAGAGTGGAAATGTGGGAAACAATAAGGAAACCCCGAGCCGGTTTTGGTCAGCAGGATGTACAGCAGCATCGGCGCAGCGGCAGCCTGGCCTCTGCCGAGATGCTGTTAGCACTGCAGAACACACGAGTTTTCAATAAAGGCTTCCAAAGCAACATACAAAATGTGAGGCTCTCGCTGCACTCAGCCACAGGATCAAGGACTCTGCCGCTGAAAGGCAAGCAGGGTATGCAAAGTGTAATCCGAGCAAGAACAACTCCGGGAGGGAAAGATAATGAAAAAATGCCTGGGATGACAGATCAGCATCTAAAACACAAGGTCAGGGAACCATACAATTATTTAGGTTGGAAGGACCTCTGGAGGACATCCGTTTCAACTCCCAGCAATAGCGGGGGGAGTGGAAGGCAGGGGGTACCTCCCAAGCTCAAAGCAGGCACAGCTGAAGTTGCTCAGGGCATTTGTAATACAAAATACATGTTTTGTTGTAGGGATACATCTAGTGGTGGGAGGCACACAGCCAGTACACAGTGCAAGGAACAAAAACAGTAATAAAAGCAATTTGAAGATAAGGTCTGGCTTGTTCTGGGACTTCTGAAACATCTTTTCAAGCTGACTCACAGAACTCAGAGTATCAGAGGGTTTCTAGAAAGTATAAAATACATTTTAATATTAATAGTCATGATTAATAGTCATAACAATACTTTTATATATCTTCCAAGTAGGGAACCATTTCCAGAAGCATAGGACATATCCATTCTAGAGGTCAAAGGAGTTGGAATCCTAATGTATTTGTCCATTTTTGCAGATGCTGTCTGATCCATACAGAATAAGTGTTCTGTGTGCCTTTGCCATCCCTCTGACCTTTCACTTGTTTAGTCTTACTTGATCAGGAGACGTTTGTTTAATGTTCACATCTGCAAATGGCATGAAGTACAGGGAAGTAGTAAATGGCACCTTTTACCTCTGACATACTTAACAAGAATTCAAGAACTATCACAGTAGGATGTAGAGGGTCACCTATACAGGTTGAAAAGACTTTGCCAAGCTTTTTCCCAAATATTCCCATTTAACTTTCCTTTCTTGAATACCATTGCTTCATGTAGCTCCTGTTGTTCTAAACACAAGTTTCAGGTGGTTCTGTTTTGTATTTTTGGACATACCCTAGAATTTTCAGATTTGTCTGGTTTTTTTTTTTATACACTGACTAAAAAAGAAGCCATAAAGCAAGATAAGGGTGGATGACTCATTTCACTAAAAGACAGCACATACATGTGCTATTCCTTATCACCATGTGACGGAATAAAAAACTCTTGAAGCTTACAAAGCAAAAATGCGGAAGCAGAAACTTAGCTAACACCAATTCTCTCTGTCAAACATGAAAAATATTCCAAATCCCCTCTAGAATCCAAAGCAATTACATTTGACTAGAATCCTCAAAACCAAACAAAACTAATGCAAGCTGAAAAAGACTGAATACCCAAAGGACAAAACACAACTATCTATATGTAACAATTAAGCAAAGCTTTCAGAACCCCAAAGTCCAGGAACTTTTCTGCTGCATGTAACATGACCAGCAGCCCTCTTTATTGTTAAACTGGTTGATGAGATTCATTAGGAGATCAGCTTTGCAGTTATTTATAATTTAGTCAAAATATTTGAGCTAAAATTTCCTCTGCTGGAGGTGGAATATTTATTAAATGTTCCAGATAAAAATAGTTCCCCTATTTTCAGGAATGAAGCTACAAGAAAAGATCCTGTTTTCTGATGTGCTTTTAGAGAAGTTGTGTGCTGTGGAGGATACTGTAACTTCAGCAGAGGAGTGGCCTCTTCCGAAGGAGTGGCATGTGCCAGCTGACATTTCATTCATACTTGGCAAGCTTGCCAAGAGAAGGCAGAGCCAGACTGCTCATGGTGGCCCTGAGAAAGCACAATAGCCATGACTTGCAACAATTCTGGTGAGCATTAGGAAAAGCCTCTCCCCAGGGCATGTTTCAGCTCTGCTGTGGGTACCTCAGCAAGCTGAGGAATCACCATCCTTGGAGGTGCTCAGAAGACACCTAGACAAGGCTCTGAGAAACCTGAACTGCCTTGGGGTCCCACCTACATTCTCTCTGCTCTCAGGTTTGGCTGTACAAGCTTGGAGACAGGTCAGAGGCAGTGGAGCTGAGGGCAGCCTCTTCCTTCTGATGACTTTGGGGACAGTTTCCAGAAAGCTCTGCTGGAGTCTCTGCCAGGACTGACCCCCTGCCCCAGGAGGTGCTTTTAGGCTGGTGCACTTGCCCTTGGCTTCTTTCTGAGGAGTCTGGCCTGTGCCTGACCATGCAATCCGTGGATCTAGACCTGTGGATAGGCTTCCTGGCCTGACCCAAGACCTGCCCTGTCATGATGGACTTGTCAGGCAATCTCTGGACTGTGGCTCACCTTGGTTCCTGCCTCCAGACCCAATCCTGATGCTGACTTGATTTCTTACTTTGACCTTGGACCTGCCTCATGACCACAAGCTTGTGTGATGATCTGGATTCTCAGCTGAACCCGGCTATCTGCTTACACCTGACTTTGCCCCCTTGCTCAGATGCTTTCCCTTGCTGGCTAAGCCTCTTCCTCTGCCTGCCATGTTACATGCCTGGATCTCAGCTCTTATATTCCTTTAGGGTGCTGCCAGCCCTCTCTGCCCCCAGTAACCTGCTGTGAGCAAGCAGTCTTGGTAGAGACCTCCAGAGGTCCCTTCCCACTCAAATCTTTCTGTGAACTTATAGCAGCACTCTTACCAAGTTAAAAGAAAAGAAAAAGTAACTTCTCTGGGCAGGGAAGAAAATATAACTGTGAAGGCATTGTGTTGATGCTTAGGTGCATGGTGCATTAGACTAGGGAAAGGAGAAAGGACCAGAGGGACAGGGACAAGGAAAAGGGTCTAGAAAGGATGAAGGTGGTAGAAGGTTTGAAAATGGACAGCAGTGCATCTGCTGTAATATCACTCCATTATCCCATAAATCCCAGGACAAAAGGGTAGCAGAAGAGATGCACACAGCTCTGTTTCCTCTGCAGCTACATTGTGTCACTGTGTCACATTCATGGCAGTCCTGAGTCTTTAAAATAGGAATATCTACTGCCCTACAAGCCCTCTTCCACCTCTCTCCCTGCATCTCTTGGGCACCATTAAATGTTCTTCATCTGCAAATGGATTTCAAAGCTGCTCTGCTGGTGATGCATGGGCTGAGCAAGGGGACAGAGCTGGCTCACACAGGGTGAATATCTCACAGGCAGGCAGTGACACAAGGGTGTTTCTGTGGAGAAGCTCATCATCTCCTACAGTCTTCTTGAAGAACTGCTTCTGCAGTCATCTCTCATAAAAGAGAGAGTCTTCAAGGGAGACTGCAAAAATGGATTTAAAACATGGTATCTCCTAACACCAACCCATGATGTATTACAATACATTTATTCCCACAGCAGTCATGAGGTAGGAACTTGAAACCAGATTTATTGCTTATTGAGAAGTCTAAAAACTATAAACCCTAGCACTCTGGACTACATTTCTTGTCACTTTCCCTGACCTTTCCTTTAACATTAAGAAAAGCAAAACCAAACTGCTGCAATGGATCCACTCCAGAATAGCCTGAGACCTGCTGGAAGCCACAGAGAGGCTGTTTTGCAGTGCAATTGGAAAGGCAACCCTTGGCCATCAGCAGGAGTGAAAAACTGGGGCTTCTGGCACTGCCTGTGTACAGCTGGACCTCACTTCTGGGGAGGTTTATAGGGCTTTCACATACAGTGCAGCCTGAAAAAGCATGTACAAACAGTGCAAGCAAATACATCTCACTGCAGCCTCATTCTGTGACATCATTCCTTTTCAACAGTGAAAATCACTCAGCCCCAAAATCAACCATCCTATATAGGGGCCAACAACAAAAGAGTGCAAAGCACTAAAACCAGCATGAGCTTCTGACATGATGACAATATTGTATCCTCTCTTTTTTTCTGGGGCCATTGGGAAAGTAGTTTTTTAAAGTATGCTAGTGTTTCCCAAGCCATTTTGCTTTAGGTAAATGTATAGCCATTGTGCCACATGTGTGTGTGTACAGCTGCAGATTTGACATACCTCCTGAAGATTGTTTTGCTAAGGTCTGTGATTTTCTGTATAATTAGGAACCTATTTTCTGCAAGATTACTGAAAACTCAGCTATTCTCCTTGACCTCAACAAAGCTTGCTAAATGCTTCAGTTCTTTTGGAAAATTAAGATACTCATCTAGGTGTCCTGTGCTGGACCTATGACTCAGATTGAAACATCTGGTCAAAGGTTTTTCTCAGCCACTGCTAGTAAATTCACTTTGTCAGCAGAGAGTACTGTATCTGTGTTCTCTTGCTCCCCAGAACTGCCTCGGGCTACAGTCCAGCCAGGAGCTACTCAGTCAGGATGGACTTGCTATAGGAATTCATGCTGGCCAGACCCAGACACACTAAGTTTGTTTCAAATCCTTGTTCCCCAATGTGTTTCCTGTACCAAAAGAGTCAGGTATGACCATGTCAGGAAGGCACCTCTGTTTATTCAAAACAACCTTTCATCCTTCAGCTTTGCATCATCACGTTCACCCACAGACAGTCTGCTGTGCTCCCTCAAGCAGTTTGCTGTATCCCACAGGCTTGCTGTCATTGTTGCATGTGTGACTCTGCAATGGTATGGCTTTCCTGGGCTTAAATTTCTGAGTCCTCAATAGGGCCATTCAGGAACACTGCAGTAGGAAGTGACGGTGAGGATTCATGGGGACGGATAAAGTTTTCAGATGGGAACAGTTTTACTTTAGACACAGCGTGGTCTCGGGGTGACTTACTCTCCACAATCTGATGCTTAAGCGTTCCCATCTCTGAGTCCCAGGCTTGTCCCCGCCGCAATTTCTTGAAGGTGTTGCGGAAACCCTCGGTGCTGAAGTAGTAGATCAGGGGGTCCAGCATGCAGTTCATGCTGGCAAACATCATCGTTATAATTAATGCTTGGCGCACCGAGGCCTGGGTTTGTGCCTCAACCTTCATTACCCGGGCCTTTATCATCCCATAAACCGCCAGGGTGGTGTTGTAGGGCACGAAGCAGATGATGAAGATGACCAGATTGACCAAGAGGAGACGCACGGTCTTCCGCTGTCGCAGGGTCTTCGTCTGGCTGGGCTGGCAGAGCTCCTGAAAGATGCGAATTGAGCAGTACAGCACAGAGCTGAGAGGCAGGAGAAACCCCAAGATTTCAGCCAGGATTACCAGGGGGAAGAGGTTATTCTGCCACATGTTGTCGCTAAAGCTTTCAAAGCACAGATAAATGGTCTGGTTTTTTACTTTACAGTGGTTTTGCTTGTGGACCATGGCTGTGGGGATGGAGCCCATGAAGATCACAACCCAGACGATGAAGCAGAGGAGCTTGGCCACCTTGGGGCGACGCAGATGCCGCCAGCGAAGCGGGTGAACGATGGCAACGTAGCGATCCAGGTTGACGCACATGAGGAAGAGGCAGCTGCCGTACATGTTGATCTGGAAGACTGAGCCAGAGACCTGGCACAGGAAGCTACCAAAGGGCCAGTGGTGGTTGGTATAGTAGTAGAGTCGCATGGGCAGAGAAAGTGTGAAGCTGAGGTCACTTATGGCCAGGTTCAACATGTAGATCATCACTACAGACTTCAGGCGCAGGTATCGGACAAATATCCACAGGGCTACCACATTGAGTATCAAACCTGTGATGAATATCAGGGTGTAGCCAGGCATGAGGAGGTGGTGGTTGAAGGTGTAATCCTTGCATGTCTGAGATGTATTGGATGTATTGGACGCTGACATGCCCAGCATGAGTCAGGCAATGCTCTTGCTGAGATGGCTGAGCCTGGTGATGGGCTAAGGAGGCACAAAGAAGAGCACTGAGGGAAGTCGTTCCCCTCTGAGGAGCCACAGGCAGGTCATTCCTGTCATCTGCTGCTGGGAGGTAGATGGACAATCTTGGCTGGCACTGCTTTGGATTGCTGGTTTGTGGTCATCTGGCACAGATGGTAATGTGGAGTCTGCTTCTGCCCCCAGTTCAGCAATTCTTTCCAGTGGTTATGAGGTGACAAGGTGATGGAGGATCATTGCAAGCTGTCAATACAATTCCTGGTCAGAGTGAAAGACCAAAACAAAAGAGTTTAAATTAGAAGAGGAAATCTCTTGAAATGTTAAAATCCCACCATGGTGGCTTCTGCAGCAAAAACTCACAAAGAAACCAAAAGACGAGGGAAAATGGACACTAGAAAAGTGAGTAATTACATGGCAGAAGAAGACAGAGCACAGATAAAGTGGTTGTTGTACAGAATCATTTATCACTCAGCCCCAGAGAATGCACTTTGCTTTGATCTGCTGAGAGCACATGAATACAAGAAAGGGACAACACAAGCACACAGGGAAAGTAGTTGAGGCAGCTCCAGAGAAAGAAGAAGAGAGCAGTGTTTTGAAGGAAAAATGCCGACTGGAAGGAACTTAAAATAAAAATGGGACAGTACTGTTTTATATCAGAGAAAAAGGACTTTGTACATGCACTTCAGATAAAAAAAAATTACAGTTAGACCTGACTCCACCCAAGCTCCTTTTCTTACGTAAAACAACACGCACAGACCTCAGTTCCAGTGACTTTGAGTTCTTTATGGTTCTTACATTCATACAGTTCCTTTGGTGTCCTTACTTGCATGGGACCGGTGCTGCTTATTTGGATTGTATGTCCTCATTCTGCTGCTTGAATGTCCCAGAAACGCAGAGCAGCACGGCCATGGAGGGGAGCGCAATAAAAAAGGAAGTGCCATGGGATTCATGTGGAGAAATTAATGGGATTCATGTGGACAAACATGACTTCAAAGCAGTGTGAGGCTAGTGACCACTCTAGGTACTAACTAGCAGCATTGTCCAAACACTGATCAGCTGGGGTGAGCCCAGTAGAAGGCCACCAAAGTGGTCTGGGGGGCTGGAGCACTTGTGCCAGGAGGAGTTGCTGAGGGAACGGGTCTTGTTCAGCTGGACAAGAGAAGGCTCCAGGTGATATAACAGCAGCACTGGGGTTTGCATGGCAAGGTTTTGGCAGCTGGGAGGGCTATAGGTGTGGTTCTGTGAGAGTGTGCCAGGAATTTCCTCTGTGCCTGATATAGCTAGTGCCAGGAGGGACCTGCCACTGGCCAAGGCTGAGCCCATCAGTGATGGTGGTAGCACCTCTGGGATAATTAAAGGGAAAAAGTTATTGTAAGATAGCAATTGCAGGCAGGGAAGGGAAGTGAGAATATGTGATAGAAACAGCCCTGCTGCAGACACCAAGCTCAGTGAAGAAGGAGGGGATGAGGTGCTCCAGGCACTGGAGCAAAGATTCCCCTGTTGCCCCTGGAGAAGACCATGGTGAGCCCATGTTGGAGCACTCTGTTCCTGAAGGACTGCACTCTGTGGAAGGGACTCCCACTGGAGCAGGGATTGATGGGACACAGTTCCCCACAGTTGTTTGCAGGGGTCAAACAGGGACTCCCTCATAAGAGTCCATGTAGATTGTGATTTACTTTAGAAGGAAAGTAGATTTTTCTGTCTAGAGAATATCTTTACATGGGGTTGATATTACACAGCAACTTGACGGGGATGTCAAGCATGTCAGACCTTCTGGATGGCATTGTGTGGCAAAGCACAGATCCAGAGAGAATCTGCTGCAGACAGAAGCGTGTGCTGACCTCACAGAGAGGAAGAGAATCATTCTAGTAACAACAGGTTAGACAATGGAAGTGGAAACCTAATACAAGAGCGTAGACAGCTACCAACTTCCCATCCTTTTGTGTTGTTGTGCAGGTCCATCACCAAAACAGGTTTCTTAGAGAAGCTTCTACTGGTTTATCAAACTATATCTGAGTGGATTCTACCCTTCCTGGTGGATGAATACTTTGCATGAATTCTTGTGCAAGCTTGGAGTATAAGATAAGATGACAAGGCAAGAGTGCAAGAATGTTGTTGGTTTCAAGAGAAATGTTTCATGCTTCAAGAATCTCAAGGAGGAGCATCGTCAGTGGTCAAAGGAGGTGATTGTCCTGCTCTGCTTTGCAGTGGTGCAGCCTCACCTTGAGTCCTGTGTGCAGTTTTGGGCACTATAAAAAAGACACTGAGCTGATAGAGAGTGTGCAAAGGAGGGCGATGAGGATGGTGAAGGACCTTGAGGGGAAAGTGTATGAGGAGTGGCTGAGGTCACTTGGTCTGGTCTGCTTGGAGAAGAGGAGACTGAGGGGAGACCTTGTTGTGGTCTATAACTTCCTTGAGAGGGGAAGAGGAGGGGCAGGCACTGATCTCTTCTCTGTGGTGACCACTGACAGGACCTCAGGAAATGGCCTGAAGTTGTATCAGGGGAGGTTTAGGTTGGACATTAGAAAAGGTTCTTCACCCAGAGGGTGGCTGGGCAGTGAAACAGGCTCTCCAGGGCAGTGGTCACAGCACCAAGCCTGACAGAATTCAAGAAGTGTTTGGACAATGTTCTCAGGCACATGGTGTGATTCTTGGGATGTCCTGTGCAGAGCCAGGAGTTGGACTTGATGATCCTTGATGATCCTGATGGGTCCCTTCCAACTCGGCATATTCTCTGAGTCTATAATTCTAGGAGAATATGTCAGCTTTTGCTAGAGCCAAAACACTGAAATGAATTGCAGACTGAGCAGACTGGTCAGACTTTATCTTGATGGAAACAAAGTTACTGAGATTGTGACTTAGTGAGTGACCATGACCTGCTGTAACACATGTACTCAGACCAGCCAGATGTCAGGTGAAAACGACTTATCTCTACAGACAATGTGTTTTTTCAAGCTTTCCTGAGGTATTCAATTAGAAGATCTAGAGATTATAATATGTAAGCACAGTCCCTGCTGTGTCAGGCTTTCTAACTCTAATATTCCGTTTCAAATTGTGGATGGTGAAGGGATTATGTTAAGAACAGTACAGTCATGTAGTTACACTGCCTCAAGTTGTCTTCCTGCTTCCTGCACAAATTGTAGCCCAGGAATTTCTTGAGCCATAGGTGACCTAGTTGTCAGTAGTCCTCAGGGAACTTCTATTTCATTGGGGTTTTTTCAGTCCTTTTCTGAGGTGATGTAAAATTGACCATGTACATTATCCAGTGCCAGGAGTGCCAAGGAGTTCCACAGCTTACTTGTGCCTCAGGTGAAGAATCACTTCCATGTACCCATCTCTGATTCATCATCTGCTAGATTCAATTCTTAGCTTTAGTGCTGGAACAGACAGGGCAAAATCCATCCCTACCCACCTTCACTTAATGGCTGATAATATTATAAATATCTACCATATTTCCACTCAGCAACTTTTTTTTGTTGTTGTTTTTAGGCTAAAGGGTGCTTGTCTTCATAGTTTTTCCTTGCAGAGAAGCTGTTCTGTACTTTTGAACATCCTTGTTGCCCTTCTCAGCACTTTTCCACTTCTGCTGCAGCCTCTGTGATCCCTGTGCTGGGGTGCTGAAAACACACAGTGCTGATAATGTGGATACACTGAGCTGCGTAGGTGTAGATCTCATTTGCAAGTGGTAATGGCCAGTTCAGTTTGCTTTTTCCCATCACTTCACTAGATAAAATTTCAGCTGTTAGTGTAAGTCCAGTCACTCACACTTCTCTTAAGCTCTGCAGTTCTTCGCAGCCAAACCTCATCTTTTTAAACTTGAATAATTTTATGTCTCCAACAGATTTGTTATTTTATTATTCATCCCTCATGAATAAGTCAAACACCCCAGCACAGGTGTCTGACAACTCCACTGAGAAAAACAACCATCTACCTTCATTCTCTGTCCCTTCTTTTAGGCATTTTTTATCCAGGTAGGAACATTTTCTTTAATTTTTTTTAAGTGCCATTGGTGAGACTGCCTTTGAAAGCCTTCTGGAAATCCACATGGGCCACTGTTCACATGCTTATTGAGCCCTTTAAGGAAGAACTGTGGGAACAGCATCTCTTTATAAAAGCCATCATGATTTTTCCCCAGTAATTAGATGTGACCGCATGCCAATCGATTTTTTCTTTATTATAGCTTCTACTAATTTGTTCAGTAAAACCATCAAGCTCCCTGGTCTGAAACCTCCCAAAAGCCTTTTCTTAAATTGAGTCTGCCTTTAAGAGCTGTTTTAAGCAAAGGTTTCTATGGCACAATTAGTCAGGTCTTCCACCCTTCAGTTATTCTCAGACCTCTGGGGTACGAGGCATGTGGTTTTAGACCCTGTTGAGTTCATCTCGCTGCTCCATGGTTGATCCTGCTACTGTTTGGACCAGAGACAGTCCTTTTATGAACTTCCCATAAAGAAAGTTTCTGCTGTGGAAATCTCCCAGGCTTTCATGACATGAATACCAATGAAAGAAACCTCTTCATTTTTTTGCCCACCATCAGGTTTTCTTTCTTCTCTGAGTTGTCTTTCCTTACATAGTCTAGCCTTTCAGCCTTCAAGATGCTGAACAGCACAGTTCTGAACTGGCAGCAAAGATTGCTGAAAGCAGAAAATAGATTGGGGTTTTGAGGGGATTTTTTTTCGTGGGTAGATGGAAACATAGAAGAAAGAGTCTGCTATGGTGTTGGTATGGAAGCTAAGCTGGCAGTCTCAGACTTGCCAAAAGAGATACACATGAGAAACAAGATGCACGCAGACACAGTCATTGCGAAGATAAAGTTGGGGGTGTGGAGAGTTTCTCCAGTGAGCTTTGGAGGTCCTGCTTTGACTGTCCCTCTCTAAAAAGGAAAGCTATGGGTAGGTAAAGCAGGCTGGCAGCAGGGAGACCAATTATCCATTCTGGTTAATGTCAGAGAGTCAAAAGGCATATTCCTTGTGGCTGCCTCTAAAAGAAGCCCAAGTACTCATTGCTCTGCACAAAAGCTGCCAAGAGATCTCAAGCCACCAGCTGTGTAAGGAGGCAGTAGTACCACAGCTGAATAATCCCCCTCCTCACAACAAGATGCTCTCTATAAATTCTGAAGAAACTTTCTCTTTGGTCACTGACCTTATGTGTCCCAGGAGGTGGAGGAAGCATTTTTCTTCCTCTTCAATCTGAGCCCCTGAATGCCATCAACTTCCAAGACTGTGACTTCCAAAATCCACAGGATTTTGATTTTTTTCTTTCAGTGGGTGAGAAGCCCTAAATGTACTTTAGGTCCAGAACAGGCAGGCATGCCCTGAGATGGGATGTGTGCCTGGCATCTTGCTGCCTGGTCCTGGGAATCCTCTCTCTCCTGTCTCACTGTCTTACTAGGAGTCACTGCCTCCAAGCGCCACAAAAATTATGAAGAATCTGAGTATGGGGCTGAGAAAAAAGGTGAGGTGGAAAAAGAGAGCTGGAAAAATAATGATGAGGATGCTGCAGGGTCAGTGTTTCTGTTAGTGGCTTGTCACTAAAACCATGGGGAGTTTTGGGGCTCCTGTGAGAATGCAGAGAGCCAATGTGGCCTTGGGGTGCAGAACTCAAAACACAATATGTATGAGCTCGCTTACTTATTCTGAAACCAAAGAGGAAACAACAAAAATGTGTCAAACCTCAGAAGACATACCCGATTTTACTCTAGAAATTGGAGATATATTTTTTAAATAAATCAGGGTGCTTTTTACCTGCTGTAGGTGATATTCAAGCCCCACTTTTCATCTTTTTTTTTTTTTTTCTACTCAAGAAATTAGATTTTTGTGATGATTAGGACCTTAAAGACATTCAAGTCTTAGGATAGCTTGTTTTTAAAGAGAGATACATGATACAAAAGCTGAGATCTCTGTATTTAACTCATGAGGTTTGATCACACAGCTATTGCCTCCTCCTTAGAGATGCTACCCCTCTTCATCTCCTGAGGGTCCCATGGAAGAGGGCTCCCATGTGGGGCACCTTGGCAAGTAAGCTCTGCAGGCTGCCCATGCTTTTAGTATCACAGGCTCCCAGGGAAAGCCTCAGTTTGAATAAATACAGAGACGTGCCTTGCACCTCCTGGTCCGTGGGGCCACTGACGAGGGGCAGATGTCCCCCAGTGCCCCACGGCCAGGCTGGCAGCACACACAGAGCAGCTCACAGGGACCCCTGCCCGAGGTGCCAGCCCAGCCGGCTCTCCAGATGTTCCCCTGCCTTACCTCACTGCTGGAGAAGAGCCAAGTGTGGATGCTGGCTGGTTGGAGCTTGGTGATTGCTGCCTCTTGTAGAGGTCTCGATCTGGGCTCCAAACCCACAAAGCAGCTTGGATCAAAACAGAACCGGGCAAATCTTCATCCAAATCACAGCTGGCCCCTACCACGCTGTGGCTGATTCTACATCTGGCATGCTGCAGTTTGTCTCTTCTCCTTTCTCACTTCCTGATGCACTTCTGCCTGGCTACAAAGCATGAACTTTGTTATCAAGGGCTGATAAGCTAAACCACATCCTACAACAGCAAATGCAATCATGAAAGAAGCAGTACCCAGGTGTCCTTGCAACTCAGGAGACCTGCCCTGGGTCATAGTGCCAAATATTTGCTTGTCTTGCTAACTCAGCCACCCCCAGGACTGACAGAGGGGAAATAAAACATCCCTCTCCCCAAAATACTCCTAAACAGGAGGTAGAAGTGAAATATGGGAAGTGAGAGCCAAGTTGATTTAATTGCTAGCCTGCACAAAGACTTGGAGTCCTGTCACTCCCATGGGCTAGGGGGCTTTGGGATTGAACTCCTGCCCGGGGGCCAAGCTGTGCACCACTGGCATGTGGCAGGATCCCTGAAAGAACCAGGCTCTGGAGAGGTGTCATTATCTGTGGCAAGCAAAGGCATGTTTGCCACAAACCTCAGTCCCTGGTGTTCAAGGCTACAGGAGGCACAGTGCTATGAAAGTACAAGGGCTGATTTACCAGCACATCTGTGACCTGGCACTGCCACGTGTAGCTGGGAAGGGAGCTGCCCTTGTGCAGAGCCCATCTGGCACTCTGTTGCTTCGAGTCCTATTTCTGCTTTGCCAGTCTCAGCACACCTGGAAGAAGACACAAGTCATGGCGACACTCCTGATCCCACTCTTGTCCTGCCCCAAGAACAGCTGCCCTGGGAAGTTGCTGTGGGCTCCCTTTCTCTGCAGCCCTTGCCTGCTGCTGTTTGATTTTCTCATTCCCTGCCTCCCTTGTTCTGCTGGTAGTGACTCCTCATTCAGGGAATGACACAGCAAGGGATATATATGCTCCTGCTGCTCATAAATCCTTGGAGGGCACAATAGCACCCGAACCACTGAGCTGCTTCTTTTCAGTGCCTCTCTTTTTTAACCAGACCCCTTTTCTCACTTGCTAGTTGCTGGGATCTTTGTTCTCGTGGCTTTTTGTGTCTCCTCAGTTCCCATCAAGGTGTTGCTACTGATAAAGGCTTGCAGATATGCCACGGGGGGTGTCCTTTGCCTAAGGAGTGTCTGACACATTCTGTGGGAACTCCCCCCTCCCCTGTAGCCCTCACCCCTCACACACATGAGCACAGACCTGGCTGAGCCCGGCAGTCCTGACTTTTCCATGTGTAAGAAGACAAGGACACAATGGCACCCAGCCCAGTCCACGAGCCCCACAGCATCCTCACCAGCCAAATTCACTCACCTCCCTGGATCTCGGTGCCTCAGCCCACGAGCTCTGTGTCCCCTCAGCAGGGTGGGCTCACACATCTGCCCCTCGCTGTCTCCTGGAGCCTCAGCTCATGGGGAAGAGCAGCTCAACCCCCGGCGTTTCCTCACCGCTGTCTGAGCGAGCAGCAGGTAAGACCAGATTACTGGGGTGTGTGTTGGAGGCTACACCCTGATGCTGCAAATCCCAACATGCCTGCCACCCTGCAGTGCTGGCTCCAGAAAGCAGGAGCAAGGACCCGGCAGGAGGAAGGATACAGGGAGCCAGGAAGGCAAGGAAAGAGGTGAAATGCACACTACAAGAGAGACGCTGCTCAGGTCTGAAAGGATGACTGATAAACCACAGTGCTCTTCAGACTTCTTTGTGCAGCAAACTGTGGGAGAGCAGAGCAAAGGGGTGAATCCCTTTATGGAAAAAGCACAACATGGCCAGAACAGCCCTGCTTCACTTTCTGAATGATTCAGACAGGAAAAGCAGAAACCTGTGGCTGCAGAGGAGTTTTACCTTTCCAGGCAGTGGGAACAGCTGGCACTTCCCAGGTTGGCTGGGGTAATGGCAGTCTTTTGTCCCGGGACATTTCAGCTCCCTGGTCACACAGCTCACAATTTCCTGGGCTCCCAGGGGCTCTTAGGAAAGGAGTACCCAATGAGAAGGGGGGCAGCCACCTTGCTGTGCCTCCTAGGAGAAGGGCAAGGGCTCATCTTGGGAAAAGACAGTCCATGGGGAAGAAAATGAGGGAGGTGAAAGGAGACTTGCCAGGGAAAGAGTTAAGAGAGGCAGGGAGCAGCTGGGCTGTGTCTGCTGTAGCTGTGTGGGCTGCAGGGTAGAAAGAACAATCTCCAGCCTGGAGGAGGCAGATGAGGGAGTGTCTTCAAGAACAGTGGATGTGGATGAGGGAGGCAGCAGGTCTTCCCCTCTCTGCTCCCGTGAGCTGTCACTGCAGGGAAACTCTCTGTGTCCCCAGAAGGTTTGGTGACAAAGCAGTGATGAGCTGGTGGGTCTAACAACAGCTGCTTGGTGCCTCTGGTTCTTCTTGTGCAGAAGGCTCTGTCTGCTGCTGAGCAGGTCTTGGGCTGCCTCCTGCTGAAGAAGTGACTGGAGACTCTGGAGGAAGACAACCACCTCATCTCCTGACAGAGTGGCACAGGCCACGGGTGTGACACAGACGCTGTCCCCACCCATGTGAGCTCCCTGTGATGGATGCCCACCCCAGAGCCCCAGCTCAGAGCTCTCCCACCATGCTGCCCAGGCTGTAGCACGGGTGTGGATGACCTCTCAGGGCCAACCCAGCAGGGCTCTGCAGGCCACAGGGTCTCTGATGCTGGCAGGCACACCTGGACAGCCCACAGACACTGCCCAGGGCTGGGGTTACCCCTGTTTTGGAGTGCTGGGCTGGAGCTGCTGTGAAAGCTGTTGGGCAGAGGCTGTGGAAAACCACAGGAGGGGATTCAGGAGCTGCAGCGCTGGAGTTAAAGGTGGTGAAGTTTTGGCAGGGACAGGATGGAGCTGGTGTTGCTGTATCTGATGCTGATCCACATGCAGCACGTCGCTGCCGTGACCTAGCTGTAAGCATGCTTTGTGCTTGGATTGTCTGGGTTGGAAAGCCACCTAGGGAGCTGATGTCTCCAGAGAAAATAGGTTGAGAACAGGATGGAAGAAGGAATCAGGGCAACCAAAAAGCAGAAGGGGCATCTCTTGGAGCATGGGAGGAGAGGGATGGTAAGGCTGAAGAGGTGCAGACCAGAATGGGCAGCAAAAATGTCCAATTCACAGACAACATGGCCACAGCCCATTTCCCTGCCCCATTTCTGCTCTAAGACATGGCAAGAGAGTGTTAGTCCTGCAGAGGTAAGGCCCTGGCTCTAGCCCATCTGCAACTGAACCTCTGCCCTGCCGCACAGCTCCCTGGCCCAGCAGACTTCCCTGCAGGCAGTCCTCTGGGACCCCAGGGGCTGTGCTGGCCTGACGGGGCTGGAGGAGGAGCAGGTCAGTGTTTGCTGGTGGCAGGTGGAAACCATGGAGGTGGTGAAGCCATGGAGGTGGTGAAGCCATGGAGGTGGTGAAGCGAGGCAAGGAGTCCTCAAGTGCCAGCGCCAGTTTCATTCTCGCCACTGGAACTGCTCCACCCTGCAGGGGCTGCACGTCTTCAGCAAGGCCACCATGCAAGGTCAGCGAGGGCAGGCTTGGCATGGTGTCCCTCCAGTATGCCCACTGTCCCCTTGACACATCAGCCTTTCCTGGGCTAGTGTTGCACCAAACCCATCCCCAGAGTGGCCAGTCCTTCTTCCACATTAGCATTCTGGAGAAACTTCTTCCCATTTGTCCAGATTTGCTTTTTGGTCCTATTGGACCATCCTAGGTACCAGTTCTAGTAAACTTACCAGCAGACTGGTAAATTTCTCCCTGACCCTGCCACCCACCCTGCCACAGAGCCATGTCACTGACTGACTCCCAGCCTTGGGAGCAGCTGCACAGGGCGAACTTCCTGAAATATATTTCTCCCGAGCAGTCTCCATCTGAAGGCATCCTTCCTGCATGTAGTAACAGCCTATTTTCTCACACTCTGCCCCATAAGTGCCTTTGCCCTCTGCAGACTGGTGCCATTGCTTGTCCCGCTGCAGGCACACGGGAGTCCCCTTACATCCACTGCTTTTGCTGTGAGCCGTGCCTGCAGCCGGGGGGAGCTGCACAGGGGTATCATCCCTCATGATGGTGCGGCTGCGACCACAGGGTCCGAGGAGTCAGCCCTGAAGGTGAAGGAAGAAGGGGGTGGCAGGGAGCAGGTGGCAGAGGGGAGGGTCCATGGGGGAGACAGGCCAGAATAAAGATGCTTTCATTCTCCACAGGTCTTTGGGAGATCCTCTCAGGGCTTCTCTTTCCTTGTCACAAGGCTGCTTTCCCTCTGCAGGTTTCCAGTGGTCAGGCTGCTCTGATAACCTGTTTTATGGGACTGCCTTCTCTCAGGCCTTCGTGGGCAGCCCTAAGAGGAGCCGTGGTGTCTCCTCCAGCCAAGTGCCATGAACCTGCACAACAATGAGGCTGGGGGAAGGTAAGGGCAGGAGCAAGGGCTGGGAGCCAGCCTGGCTGCAGGGACTTCTCCTGGCTCAGTCCAGCCCCCACACCTCAACAAGCACTTCAGGGCAGCCAGGGCTCCCAGCGGAGTCTGCATCCTGCTGCCTTTCCTAGCCCAGCACTGTCCTGATTACCCTGAGCTGGCACCTGCCTGTGTGGAGGGGGGTCCCAGCCTCCCCTACTCAATTCTGTGCAGTCTCCTTTTCTGCACAGACCCCAGCTGTGATTCAGGAAATAATTTACTCTGTTCTGTTTCTGAAGGGCTTCCCTGTCCCTCCAGCCTCTCTTCAATAAAGACAGACGTCTGCAGCGGCCGCAGTCAGATCTTGGTCCCTTGAATGTCCTCCACCTCTGGCCAGATCTGGTCCCTTGAACATCCTCCACTTCTGGCCAGATCTGTTCCCCTCCCCACAGCCCTGCTGGCCAGAACAGCTCCCCATCCCTCTCTCTGCGTCAGGGATTTATCTTACAGACCCAAACCATCTTGTTTCCCACAGAGTGGATCTCCTTCTGTTCATATTGGCCTGTATTAAAAAGACACTTTTGCCCTTCCCCTTCCCGCCCCTGATCTTCAGCCCCATGGGCAGATTGTTGGGAGAGCAGCAGCACATGGGAGGTATTGGGAATGGCGTCCCTGGTCGGGCTGGCAGCTGCCTCCTGTTCCTCAGGCTCTCCTGGCCCACATGAAGGTGGAGTGCAATGCCATGGCGTGTTGGGCTTCTGCCAGGTGCGAGCCTGCTGGAAGCTCCTGCCTCCCTTTGCCATGTGGGCAACGTCCTCAAGGAAGAGTCTGAGGGGGCAACAGAGGTTTTCCCGAAGAGGGTGGGTTCCCGCCAGCTCCTGGTGCCCAGGAGCTCTCACTTCAAGCCCTACACGGCTCACGGCCTGCTCTACCTGTGGGCCAGCCCGGACTCGTGCGAGCGGGACCCTCGGCACGGCACCCTCGGCACCTCGGGCCCACAGTGCAAGGGGACATGGCCGGCCAGGGACCGCTGCGAGCTCCGGTGCTGCGGCAGGGCCGGCCCGGGCCGAGGTGCGGGAGCGCTGCAGCTGCAATTCCGCTGCTGCTGCTCCATCAAGTGCAAGCAGGGCCGGCACCCCGTGGAGGTGCTCAGGTGAGTCCCTCAGGGTCGATGCCCAGGGGTGCCATCAGCTCCCGTGTGCTCCCCCCGCAGCCTCCCGCCAGCCGCCGTGGGCTGTTGCGGTTTGAATTATTTTTCCGGGTGGAGGGTTGGAGGACACAGGCCAAATAAACGACGAAACTCGGGGAAAAAACCCAGCCGAAGTGGAAAGCAAAGTGCACACAAAAGCTTCTTGCCCACATGCTGCGTTTGGGATCTGGAGAGTCCCTGTCTCTGGTCCCTCCCCAGTCTCTGGGCATGCAAGAAATGCCTTTTCCTTTGGCTGGAGAAATGTTCCAGGAGGAGTTCCAGCAGCTGCCACAGTGAGGCTCCCCTCATTCAGTCTGATCTCAGTGCCAGGGAATGTTATGGAACGAGTTATCCTAAGTGCAATCACGCAGCACAACCAGGGAATCAGCCCTAGCCTGGATGGGTTCATAAAAGGCAGGTCCTGCATGGCCAAGCTGGTCTCCTTTTACGACTAGGTGAGCTGCCTAGGGATGAGGGAAAGGCTGTGCATGTTATCTTCTACTTGGACTTCAGTAAGCCTTTGACACCACTTCCCACAGCATTCTCCTGGAGAAGCTGGCAGCCCACAGCCTGAGCAGGTGCATTCTTTGCTGGGCTAAAAACTGGCCATGTGGCCAGGCCCAGAGAGTGGTGCTGGGTGAATTTACATCCAGCTGGTCACCAGTGGGGTTCCCCAGGGCTCCATACTGGGGCCAGTCCTGTGTAAAACCTTTATCAGTGGTCTGGATGAGGGGATTGAGGCTAAGTTCCTGGATGACTGTAGGGTGGGAGTGTGGGTATGCTGGAGGGCAGGAAGGCTTTGCAGAGGATCTGTATAGGCTGGATTGATGGGCTGAGGCCAATAGTGTGAGGTTCAATAAGGCCAAGTTCAGGTTCTGTTTGTCAGTCAGAACAGCCCCAGGCAGCAGCACAGGCTGGGCCAGAGTGGCTGGGAAGCTGCCCAGAGGAAAAGGAACTGGGGGTGCTGGTGACAGCAGCTGAACATGAGCCAGCTGTGCTCAGGTGGCCAAAAAGGCCAATGGCACCTGGCCTGGATCAGCCATAGTGTGGCCAGGAGGACCAGGGCAGGGATTGTCCTCTTGTATTCTTCACTGGTGAGGCCACACTTAGAGTGCTGTGTCCATTTCTGGGCTCTTCACTGACAGAAAGACATTGAGGTGCTGGAGTGTGTCCAGAGAAGGGCAACAAAGCCTGCGAAGGGTCTGGAATGGCAAAAGGACCTGGGGTTGTTTAGCCTAGAGAAAAGGAGGCTCAGGGGAGCCCTGATCACCCTCTATAACTCCCTGAAAGGAGGCTGAAACCAGGTGGGAGTTGGTCTCTTCTCCCAGGAAACCAGAGATAGGACAAGAGGCAATAGCTCCAAGCTGCACCGGGGGAGGTTCAGGCAGATATTAGGAAAAAAATTTCTTCATTGATAGGGTGGCATTGGAACAGGCTCCCCAGGGAAGTGGTGGAATCACCAGCCCTGGAAGTGTTCAAAAAACAAGTGGTTGTGGCACTTTGTGATATGGTTTAGAGGGCATGGTGGTATTTGGTCATAGGCCTTGACTATCTTGAAGGTCTTTACAAACTTTAATCATTTTTGTGATTGCTTCCTGGTGAGGCTTTGGAACCTCTCTTGCCACAGCTGCACCTCCTTGTGTCCCTCCCTGGCACTCAGCACCCGGTAGGCCATGTTACGGCTGCACTTCACACGAACCACCTGGAGAACCAAGGAGAGCCTGGGTTCGTAGGGCTGCTGCCACTGCCCTTCCTTCCCCAGGGAAAGAGACCTCCATGGTGGATGGCACCTGGAGGCTGGCATGATGAGGGCACCAGGGGGAAGGGGGGAGGACCAGCTGAACTGGCAGCTGCACTGTGTGTTTGCTAGGATACAGGCCAGTCCTCTGTCCTGCTCTGGTGATTTGGGGTTTTGCTACTGCTTAGCAGATGGAGGAGATCCTGCCCTTCAGAGATATAAAGGGATATCATCTCTCACATCATCCGTGCAAATCCCACCCAGCAATGACACCCCAGTTGTGCTGGGCCACTGTTTGTCTCCCCACCTCGCCCAAGCACACCCAACTGTGTCCTCCTAGAAGGAAAAGCAGTGGGCCAGTGAGGCCAGCAGGGGCTTGGGGCTGGCTGTGGAGGGGCCAGCCATGGAAGAGCAGATTGTGCAAAAGGCAGCGTAGCTGCTTCTCACCCTCTCATTGTAGATGCTCTTCAGCAGGCACTGGTAGCTCTTGAACATGCAGTAGTTGGGGTGTTGAACCCCGCTCGAATCACAGATCTGGTGACAAGGGAATGGAGGTCAGAGAAAGAAAAGGAGAAGGAGGGATGGGAGCATCCACTGATGGTCACCCACCTTTCCTGAGCTGTCCACATCTGGGAAGGTTTCATACTCTGCCTTCAGCCAGAGGGTCACAGCAGGGTCGTTACAGCCATAGATGGCCATCCGGCTGCACCAGTACTCCATCCTCATCCCTCTCAGAAAGTTCATGTTGTAGTCATTCAGGGTCTGTGAGGACATGGACTGCAAAGGGTGGGATAAAGTGAGCCATGCTTCTTTCTCTCCCTCCCCAGCTCCCAGTCCAGGAACAGAGCAGCAGGAGGCAAAGCTGGCTCGGTACCTGGCCCTGGATGTGGCCGTGCTGGGCGGAGATCTCGGGGTTGATGTAGGGGGAGAAGGCGCCCGAGTCGCAGTGCACGCGGTTCAGGCTCTCGATGTTCTGGCACTGCTCCCTCTTCAGCGAGCAGAAGGCGCAGTCGGGGCACAGGTCCACGTGGTGCCGCCCGAGGCTGTCACACACCTGGGGTGCATCCAGCGGGGAGTCAGGGGGGAAAAGGACACTGAGAACCTCCCCACAGAGGAGGCTGAGGAGTTCCCATGTTCCTGCCTCCCTGGCCAGCCAGGTCAGCTTCTCTCAGGAGGTGGCCTGCGCACAGTGGGGGCCAGAGGTGGACATTGGTGTCTTTACCGAGTCTCCGAACCCAAGGACTCTTTTCTCCATCTCCTTCCAGGCCGTGGTGAGCATTGATGAGAGGCAATTTCCCTCCAGCACTGCGTAGCACAGGACCAGCACTGCCTCGTCATTCTGCAGGGCTAGAAGGCTGAGAGAAAAAGGGAAGGAGGGAGTCATTCCTTGCCACAAACTGAAGAGATGCATCTATAGTTAGAAACTGAAAACAACTCCAAAGCAAAGATAAAATCCCTTCCCAAAGAAACCTTGGGCTCTTGGCTAAACTGCCCAGAGGAACGGGGCTCTCTGCAGGGTCTGCACGTGCCTGTGTGACACAGAGGCTGCAGGGAGGTTGCTGTGCATTTGGGGGCATGTGAGAGGCACTGGATGAGGGGCACAGCTCAAAGAGCTTTCCCAGGGCCCCTGCAGCAGCTGCTGCATAGTTTCATCCATCTGAGTGCACAGTGAGGAGATGTTTGTTAGATGTGTGCTGAGTGTTGAACATTGGGCAGCCCCACTTGGGTCTGGGGATGTCACATATTAAGCCTCCCTCCCAAGTATTTGACAGAAACGGGGAAAAACTTGTTAACCATGAATTTACTGTTCATCCAAACTGACATGGGTAGCTAAAAGTAGAAAATGTAAGGACAATGGGATCAGAGCAATGAGAATATTTGGCATCTCTTAGGAACAATGGAATTTGTAAACATGGTACAGAACTGTTAGCAGACAGGGATGGTTGGTTTCAATCATCATCAATGATGCAGAAGAGGTAAACATGCTCATTAGATATTTGCTTCTTGTGTCTGGAGACAAAGCCAGTGATAAATAAACAAACTTTGATCTGACAGAGAGTAAAGAAGAGCAGCAACTGCTTATGTTAAAATGCTCTTAAAATGCATGCACAGGCTAACATGTATGGACAAGTTTTCCTGAGAATATTTGAAACTTCATGGAGACCTGCAGATTAGCATTAAAAAAAATTAAGAAAAGGTAGAGAACATGAAGGAAGGTCATGAAGACGAGATTTCCTAAGGCCTGGAAAACTTTCACCTGGAGGTAGAAGGTAGGAAAGCATCCTTCAGTTAAGCAAAGACATCAGTGGTTTCCCACTCGGTCAGTCAGCCCTTCTGCCAAGGAGGGCTTCAGCTGGAAAGCTCTCCTTGTCAGCAGGTGGAAGAGTAATGACTTTGGTGACTGGAATTTGGGGCAAGATCCATTCAAACCAGAAGCAAACTACATCTTCCTGACACCAAGGGTGTTTAGCATGGGAGCAGCTGATGGGTGCTTCCTCCACAGCTCAGAGACTTCAAAAAGATATCCCAAACTTCTATTAGGAGAGGAGTCTGTGGCTCAACCTCATAGCACCGTTGTTTTCTTTGGGGCTCACCAGACATGACTTCATGTCCTGGGCTGAGCAGAGCAATTCCTAGACCTGACTGTTAAGGGTGTTGAGCTTCACAGAAAACTGAGTTGTGCCACACTGCCTGAGTTTACCGAAAAATTCTGCTGTGCTCTCTGTCACATTCTTTTCCGCCTCTATCTCTGCTCTCCATCTCTGCTGTGAGGTTTTCTGGCCTCACAGTTGCAAATTTATGAGCTGATTTACCACCTCTGGGTGAGTATAACAGCACTGCTGCTGGTTCTCTCCTATCGCTGACACGCTGCTGAGCTGTTTGTGGATGCACAGAGGTTTCACCATGCTTCAGGGAAAGGGATGGCTCTATCTAAAGTGAGTTCCTAATGCAAATCCCTCCCCAGATTAGCACCTCTGCATGTTATTGTCCTAACCACTGCCCTGGAAAAAGCCTAACGGGTACTGTGAGGCAAAGATCCAAAGGGAACATGGAAAAAAAACCAAACCAGGATTAAGAAGAACCTGTGGGCCGAGATCAGTAGTTGATCCACAGCAAAAGAGAGAACTTCAGGTAACAGCTTATCATACTTCAGCATCTCAGGATGAGGAAGGACACACAGAGCCTGCTTCAGTGGTATCTCTGAGGAATGCTGGTGAGCAGCACCCGCCTCTCCCTCCACGTAATGACAAGGATTTGGGCCATTAGCTTTCGGCTGCTGAGCCTTCCTGATACTGGCTGGCTGAGGTGCAGGGAGCACCTGAGGCGAGCAGAAAAGGAGATAAGGAGAGAACAGCAGCTTTCCAGCACCTGGTAAATTCTGATTTAGGGGGCTTGCTGCAGGAAACTAAAACTGGTTATGAAAAAGCCACTCTTAACAGCTTCAGAAAGAGAAAAAAGATCTTTGACTGCATACCAGGGCTGGTTATGGATGATGATAATTCAAAGAGAGGTTTTTTGTTTTTTTTTTTCCTGGGGACAGTATTTTTAATGAAGGGTCTGGCCTTAAAATTAAAGCCCCTGGGGCTGAAGTAGATAAGCACCACAAGGACTGTTTGGAGGGGTACAGCAGCAGGAGGAGGAGGAGGGGGAGTCACCAGGAGTGTGTGTATCTCCCACTGCACACAAGTATCTCAAGGGTGGGTGCCAAGAGGATGG